TTAACCAAATAATTGGTCATACACACTCTTCTTACCCTATCCCACCATAAACCACAACCACCTCACACACACATACACACACCACCACCATCATCGCCACCACCATACCAACATTGCCAACATCATCATCACCTCACTAGCTAGCACCAGCACCACCAATTGCAACCGCCATCCCAAGATCATTGTACACCTACTGCAAAACCAGATCTAAAATAAGAGGGCATCAATCTTCAAAAATTGAATCTCTTCATTAATAACACATTCAAAATCTATAAATTTTTAGACAAGTGGCTGTTGATGATGGCCGCCACCTCATCCCAATCCACAACACTAAGCTACTTTTGAAGATTGAAGTGGCGTAGAACTTTATGAAGACGACCAAAATATTTGCTTCTCCATTGTCGTCAGATCGATTTGGTCCTCGCCATTAACACGCGTTGATCAAAGATTTTCTTCTCCATCGCTTAAATCAATGATTTGCTTCTCCATCGAACGATATCAATGATTTGCTTCTCCATTGAACGATTAACACATACTAATTGGAGAAGATTGATTTCTTTATTGCTTAAATCATCATCGTTAATGCAACGACAATGAGTGCGCAACGTTGCTTCACAGTAGCTCGTTGTTTCTCAAGGTGATATTGCCGCGTTGGTGGCTTTATGAGCGGTTGAGCGTCGCTCAGTGATACATTCAGTGATGGTGTATATTAAAGAGAAAGGAGAGAAAAGTGAAAAGTATAGAGAGAGAAGGGAGAGGGGGAAATAATCAGGGTTTGAGAATGAAATTTGGTAGAGTGGATGGAGGTAGGGTGGGTATGTAGATTAATTTAATTTTATATTACTGTTATTAATATTAAAATGTGGAATTATCATCTGATATTTTCATGAACAAATCTTAAACTTGATTTTGAAGTTGGAACTTAAAACCTACCTCCATGTAATTTCCACAGCTAATAGTCCTTTTAATAAAGGTCCATTGTTCCATTAGTTGAGGCAAGTCTAATCCCAATGGTCGGGATGGGCTAGTCCCACGGCACAACTATGATGAGTTGCACTATTGGTGAGAATTCTATCAAAAGTATAGACCTGCATAATAGCCATGAAGGATGATGCAATCTCATATTGTGCATGTTCACGTAATACGTTTGGCTAATTTGCCGTTATGGCATCAGGCACTCCTGGCTTGGATGACCTTACATATTAAGCAGCTACATGTGTAAATCGGTGGCTTGCAGATTGGCGTGCCTTTAATTTTTTGTTCCCGTCCCCACTTTTGACTGGACGCGTTGGCCATATTAATTAATTTTTTTGGGGAGAATTTAAAACATATTACTATCTCTAATAAAAAGCCATTGGGTTCGAGCTAAGCCGAACCCAACCCAAAAGCACTAGGGATGGGCTAGCCTATGATAAAACCAATGATGTGAGACTTCTTTCAAAAGTGTAGACTTCCATTAATCTATGGGAAAAAAAAAATCATAAGTCAAGTATTATGAATGCATCAAATCAATTTCCAGATATTAAGTTTTAAAAATGCAAAAGTCAGGTGTTAATTCTTTTTTTAGTTTTAAATAATAATATTATCAAATTAAATTAATTTACCCACACCTATCCCACCCACCATCACACACTAGTCGTCGGCATCCACCTGCTGATAACTTCTTTAGCAACGAACATGATTGTTGCCACCTCAAAACCCATACCTACCCCACCCATCCTCGCCTACCAGTCGTCGACATCCACCCGCCGATTACTTGTTTAGCGATAAACACGAGCATCTTTGGCGTAGATAGTAGACATAGACGGAAAAATATAGTGATCGTTGGAGAACATCGACTTGTGTAATTTATAGAATACTTACAGAAGCAAATAACTTCAATTCTCACTGTCAAAATCGGGTTAAATGAATTTGCGACCAGTTCAGATAACTGAGGTCAGATAAATCAACGGTATGTAATCAAATCTCTTGAATTTGTGACATTTGACCTATGCACTTTGACATATATGTCTGTGACCTGATCCAATGGTCCATGACCAAATCTCTTGAATATGTGGCACGTGCCTTGAACCAATGATCTGTGACTGAAATCTCTTGTATTCGTGATTGTGACCTATGCACTTGATAAGTGACCTATGATTTGATTCAATGGCCTGTGAACAAACCTCTTTGGTCTGTGAACAAACCTCTTTGGTCTGTGACCAAATCTTTTGAATCCGTGACCTATGACCTATGCACTTTGACATGTATTCTGTTACATGTGATTGTGATATGGTCTAATGGTCTATAACCAAACATCTTAAATCTATGACCTGTGACCTATGTACTTTGACATGTGACCCATGCATTTTGATAGATCACATATTTAAGAGATTTTCGTCACGGAAACTCAGTCAATTGTGACCTGTACACCGCCACCATCATCACCCGTGGATATTGATCCATCATCAACATTCTGCTATTGCCATCACTGTAACACTCCACCATGACCACCACTATTGCACTACCACCACAATCACTAACAACTCAACAACCAAGTAAGTCACCAACGCCAAAACTCCACTCTTCAACCTCTAAAAATCCATTACAAACACCAACTTCTGTTTACCATGGCCATAGGAGTCCACCACCAATAAATCCCCCACTTCAACTTTTATCCATTACAAAAATCAATCCAAACAACAACCAAATCAAACCAAAATCTGGCCTCAAAATCACAAGTAACTCATAGCCTCCATCTAGATTCTTGCCACTCTAACAACACCCATGGTCGAGGACCACCACCACCCAATTCTCCTTACCAAGTGACTGATTCCATGGTCTTGATTAATCAAAACCACTCCCACAGGTCGATGACTAGAATAAAAAATTTCACAGTTGCAAATAGTTTTCGCAAGAACAGGCAATCGGTCAATTGATGGTCTAAATGCATTCCAAATGATGAATTATACCCAACAACATCCAATTGAGGTCCATAATACTGTGGGTAATCTATCAATTGAACCAATTAACCAACCAATTTATCCAAATTTCGGGATATAGTCGAAAAATTTCCTTTCGAGCATTTAGACTTTCTCTCAACCAATTGAATACTCCATCGTGCTTCAATACAACAAATCTGCTGGAAAAACCAATGGAAGTCCAAAAGATGGCACCGAAAAGTATGGGTTTAGAGAGATGTTGCTGGATTAAATTAGGGTAGGGAGCGAGAGTGAGAGTGAGAGTGAGAGATGAGCAGAGTAATATTAATTTTGATTAAAAACCTGATTTATGCTCAATTATACTTTATATCTGATTTTAGAATTGATGTATTTAAATGTCGGTTGTAGTGTAATTTCCTCTTAATCTAATCCTGTGTAAATTGGTGGCTTGCAACTAGACGCGCCTTCAATTCTTTGGGCCCAACCCCAATTTTGATGGGACATGCTGGACATATTATTTTATTTTTTGCAATTTAAAACATATTATTATCTCTAATAAAAAGCCATCGAGTTCCAACCCAACCCAACCCAACCCAAAAGTAATAGGGATAGGACAGCCTATGATACAACCAATGATGCGAGACAAGGATGAGTCAATTTCATGTTGTTTAGGTTCACGTAGTGTATATCGTTCATCCACCCTTGCGTGTCCGGTGTTCAAGGCCTAGATGACGCTCATATTTTGATATGTAATGAAGCAATACATATGAATGCAAGATAGATATTGCCTAGTTTAGCCATAATTTAATATTTTTGCTTGCCCTTCAAACACTTTCTAGGAGTCAAATCCGTGTTTTGAAAAAATCTATGCCCCAAATCTGGTGAAGAAGACTTCACTGTTTTTAATCCTGCATGGATACTAGTATTTTAACTAGGAACAGAATCAAACCTACCTTGAATTCAAAAAAACTGTCTTGTTAAAATTATTTCATTAATGGTCAATGAAGTTGGTAAAAAATTTCAAGTTGGTCATTAAAGTATTTTTCTTACTCTATTAAACCCTAAAACAGTTTTATGAGTGGTCACATACTGAACTGAATGAATGTTATTTTCTTGCCATATATGCATAAATAGATGAAAATAGAGCAAAAATGCTTGAATTGGAACAAAATTGTGTTTTTAGTTGTTTAATTGATTCCTTTTACTATCTTTTGCTATTTCAAATACTCCATCTCCAAAATCGATTTACCCAATCTTCAAACTAGGATTCTATATGTTAGTCGAAATGCAAAATTTCAAAGATGTATCTTGACGATGCAAAGGCATTTGTGTCATGATTTCACTGTTGGACATGATGCTTATTTGAGACTGCATGAAGGTAACCTAATTAAGGTTGGAGATTCCTCAATTATGCTAGCTTTAGGGCTTCTAGTTTATTGTGGCATTCGATGATGACATGTCAGATTTTACTCCAATTATTTTAAATCTTTACAAATTTCCATCACTATTAGAGTTAACAAAATACTTTAAAATAAAACTGGATAGACAGGGGAAAAAAGAGTTCATAAAATAGGCTGATTTGTCATGATTTGATTGAGTGTTTTTGTGTAATTTTTTTCCCAACTTCCAATGTTGAATTGTCACGTGCTGTCTGTCAATGGAAATCTGTCATTGACCCTATTTGTATAGTTTGGTCGAATACTTTAATGACTAATTTGAATTTTCTTACCAACTTCAATGGTGATTGGTGAAATTAACTTCTATACATATTAAAAATATATGTATACCTATATTGATTCTTCACTCACTCTCATTATTTATCGTCTGCAATCCAAGCGCCAGTTTGGAAATATATATTTATTTTTTGTGTCCATTAATGCGGCCAAGAACACTTCTGACAGCATCTATGACTTGAAAAATGCTAAGTTAGATCTCTATCTTCCTCCTTTTTTCTTTATGCCAATATTCTCACCCAAATTCACTCATTATCCTTATTCCCATTAAATTTCTTCAGCTTCTTCTTATACGGCTCTTCCCAGAATTGTAGAATTTTATCATTTTTTTGTTCATTGATCTGAAATGATGCAGGAGCAAATAAGGATTCCAGCTTGTTTTTACTCTAGTGAAAAGCTTACGGATGATCCTGCTGGGAAAAATTGTTCAGGACAGAATGTTTTTGAGTCGGTATACCGGACTAAAATCGCCGATCAATGTCGACTAATCACGGTTACATGGTGCAAGAATTTGCTGCTTCATGGCCTATCTATCTCAGTAGAAGGGCTTGAGGGAGAAAGACAGTATACATGTAAAGTTGAGCTTAAGCCATGGTATTTTTGGAAGAAACAAGGGTCGAAACGCTTCGCTGTGGACGATAAGGCGGTCGGCATTTTCTGGGATCTTAAGGCTGCAAAGTTCAACGGCGAAATCAAGCCGAGTTCCGAATACTATGTTGCCATTGTTTGTGATGATGAAGTTGTCCTGCTTCTTGGAAATTTGAAAATGGAGGCTTATCGAAAGACGGGATGTAGGCCAGCGCTTATCGATCCGATATTAGTCTCGAGAAAAGAGCACATTTTTGGTAAGAAAAAGTTTGTAACAAGAGTTAAATTCCATGATAAGGGTAATTTCCATGAGATATCCATTGAGTGCAAGAACCGAAATTCTTCTAATGGCGCGGATTCTGAAATGGAGATTAGTATTGATGGGCATTCATTGATTCATGTCAAGCACTTGCAGTGGAAATTCAGAGGCAACGAAGCTATTCATCTCAACAAAGTGAGAATTGAAGTGTATTGGGATGTCCATGATTGGCTTTTCGCCCCCGGCCTACACCCCGGCTTGTTCATTTTCAAGCCAAATTTGTTGTCAACACCTCCATCAATTTCAACATTACCATTGTCATCACAGGCAGCGAGTTCCAGCTCAATGGAGGGACTAAATGCATGTGCAGCATCTGATTTTTGCCTTTTCCTCTATGCCTGGAAAGTGGAATGAAAAAATCACATAGGCCTAATGGAAATGAGACTTATGGCCCCATGTACCAATATGGAATGTGGGCTGTTGGGGTGGGGTGGGGTGAATAAGTGGGCCCCAAAAGAGAGGTTGGAAGTTAGTAACAGCTGGTTTTAAACAAGTGGCGTGATTGAAGTGGACAGATTGGATAACATACATACCCAATAATTTCCCATCTAGAGGCATCTCTTTTTTTGTCCTTAATTTTTCCTCTCTTTCTTGATCTGATCTTGATATAAGTGAAAAATTATATATGTTAAAGTTATATTTTCAAGATTGTATACAAAGAAAAGTTCACTACATTGTATAATTTACATTTTTTTAATTATTATATTGAATTAAGCTTTCATATTGAAATTTAAGGTTCCAAGAACAAGTTGGAGCAAGTATTTTGTTTATCTGCTATGTCAAATGCTAGTCATTATTTACAAGGATTCAGTTTAAATTAGTTCTCCTAATCGGAGTGTCTTCAGTTGCCTATCTTGCTCATTTTCCAGTGGCTAAGCAGTCTTATGGTGTTGTGTCTTGGAGAAGTAACAAGGTTAACACAATTCATGTTACACATGTTTGGCTAAGCCTTAAAAAACAGTAAAAGTACTTAAAAGTAACTTTAAGCTAGTTGTATATTTGTCAAGCTTAAAGTTAATATGAAACTATTTTCAAAACACGATTGCCAATAAAAAGGTAAAAGTAACTTTTAGTTCAAGAACAAACTTCTCTCATAAGTATTAATATATGTCTGGCTAAGCTTATAAACATCTTTCTGTGATAGTAGATGAGGTGATGCTGTTGAAAAAATGGTTCTTTTAAGCTTAGCCAAACATGCTAGACTCTTTACTTTACTCTCTTTTAAGTAGTTCTACTTCTTTTAGGCATAGCCAAACGTGCTCTAAGTTGAGTTATAGTCCGGGGATCATGACAATAATTTTTTCCCTACTTCGTGTCATTCACCAACCAAGCTGAAATGCTGCAATTGGTTAACTTTTCTAATGGTTAGCCAATTACATGGCACTGCGCTACTGCCTATCACTTGCTCCTTCATGGACTTGGAATAAAAATTTGAAAAAGAGATACAAATTTGGGAGTTTTGTCCATTCAAAACTCCAATGGACAATTCCATTCAGAAAATTTAATTGATGCAATCTTGATTACATTTTTCCCAACATTTTGTTGGGTTGTGATGCTAGTCTTGATCCAATAATCTTAGGCAATGATGATATTGGCCTTAGGCCTAGATATTACACAAATAACCCTGCCCAATAATATTATCTGAGATGGCCCACTTACCACGACCCGATATTCAGTCCAATTGTGTGAGAGTTGCTCTGGACCGTTGGATTAAGAAACAGATCTACAGTGGATTGGTTATACTATAAATACAAGTCTCTAACCCTAATTTGCAAGATTTTTTCCATTCTCTTTCTCCTTCAGCCGTTTGGAGCCTTCTGGGTTCATGTTCTTCGTCTGTTCATCTCTTCTTTGTGAGTTGATCTTATTCTCTTTGTGAGATTAAAATCTGTGTGAGTAAACTGAAATCTGTGTTGAGAGTCCAAAAAATCTATCCATTGAAGCAACCCCACGTTGGGTACTTGTGAGGGTTATGGTTCGAGTTAGGGCCTCTTTTAATGATACAGAAGGGTACAAGGATCTGAGCTTAAATTAGTAACTATTCTTGGTGTCCAGTGGTAGTTTTGTATAGTTTCAGAAAGTGTAATTATAGATCTGTGATTTTCTTGTAAAGAGTTGTGTATAACAGTGGTATCAGAGCGGCGATCTTGTGATTTCTTACCGTCGATCGAGTTCTAGAACTTGGAAAATTAATTTCTTGTGTTTTGTCCTTAGATTGATTGATATTTTGTGAAACCCTAGATTTGATTTTGGTTCGATTTGAGGTTTTACTTACGAATCTGCTTGTGTCGAGTGAAAATCTGAAAATCTTGGGTGATTTCTTGGTTTGGTTGGTGGTTGGACCCAAAGTTGAATACAATCTTGGTGGATTGGACCCTGCACCTATACACTACTCATTTCTGCTGTTGGAATTAAGGGGTTCTAAACTAATCCCTTGTGCTTTGGTTGGATTGGTGGTTAAATTTCTTTGAACCACCCTCTGGTTTGCATTCAGTTATACCCATAGCACTGATCTGATTATTTTCATTGATATTATGTGTTCTCTTTATGGGTCTTAACTACAATTTTCACAATTATGTTCACTGGATTAGAATAATGTTTAATAATTCTTGAATCTGTGTGACCTGTTATTGAAGTATACTGCATTTTTCTTAGGATGTTCAAATTGAACCTTAACCTGAGAACATGATTCTCACGGAATCTTGGTGAATTTGATCATCTTGTATATTAATTTGTGATTAGTTTCATGTTCACTTGATTTTGAGAGACTGTGCGTCTTTACTGTTTACATAATTGTGATATTCCTATCTCATTGCTTTATCCTCTTGTGTGATCTTTTGATCTTCTCAAATTTTGTGAAGGTCAAAACACTTATCTTGTTCAAGATTGATCAGTTGTCAAGTCTTTTTCAAAATTTTAAAGTACTTTGCGTTATTTCTTGTTTTGGAAATAACAAACACTTCTTTTGAAGTGTTTTTGATGGAAAAGGGGATTTCTCCATTTGGCAACAAAAAATGAAAGGTCTCTTAGTTCAAGAAAAAGTTGTTAAAGCAATAACACACAATAACAAAAGAATATCCTGAAACTATGATAGCTGATCAACAGAAAGAATCTGATGAACTTGCGTATACTTCTATTATTTTACATTAGTCTGATCAAGTGCTGAGAAAAATTGGTGAGCATGATGATGCTAAAACATTGTGAGATGATTTAGAGAAACTTTATCTGGTCAAATCTTTACCAAATAAATTGTTTTTTTGGAAATTTTTTTAGTTTTAAGATTGACCCCACTAAGGACTTAGAAGATAGTCTTGATAGCTTTAATAAGTTAATGCAAGACATAACTAATGTTGGTGATAAAGTTTCAGAAGAATACAAGGCAGTAGTCCTTTTAAATGCTATTCCCAAGACATATAAAGAGGTAAAAGCAGCACTAAAGTATGGGGAAGACACCCTTACACCTGACATAGTAATAAACTCCTTGAGGAGTAAGGATCTTGAACTTAGAACCGAAAGGAATAGTGTTGGACCAGAAAATCTATTTGTTACAGGTAGGACCCCAACCAGATTTAATTCCACTCCGGAAGATCAAAGTAGTCAGGGAACTACTCATAGGAGAAAGTTTAAGAGTAGGGGTAGATCTAAATCCAAAACTAGGAATAAAAAATGCTATGGGTGTGGAAAAATATGACACTTTATAAAGGACTCTTACAAAAAGAAAAATGGATAGAAACAAAAAGGGGTGGATGAAGGAAATGTAGTTGAACCCACCACTGTTGATGTCTATGCTGTGACTGAACAAACTTTTGACCCTAATACAGCTAATGTTATTAATGAAGGAAATCAGTTTTCGAAATGGATTCTGGACTCTGATTGTACCTTCCATATGACCCTCTAGGAAGAATTGGTTGGTAGATTTTAAGGAAATAAATGAAGGAGAGGTAGTGATGGGAAACAACACAGCCTGTAAAGTTAAGGGTATAGGAAATGTTACATTGCAATTTGAAAATGGATATATCTATACACTTGAAAGGGTTAGATATGTTCGCGATTTGAACAGGAATATGATTTCAATGGGTAACCTGGATGATTTGGGCCAATGAGGTAAAATAGGTGATGGATTCTTAAAGGTGATTAAGGGCTCTCTTGTCATCGTTAAAGGAGTTAAAAGAAATGAAATCTATGTTGTTGAGGCCAGTATAATTAGTGATGAAGTTGCTAAATCTTCCGGTGCTGAACTTGATGCCACCTTAAAGTGGCACAAGAGATTAGCCCATGTAGGTGAGAAGGGTCTACAGATTCTCACAAAATGGGTCTGTTTGGAAAGGATTCTATATCTAAAGTGCCTTTTTGTGAAATTTGCACTTTAAGTAAGCAACATAGGCTGCATTTCAACACTGGAAAGCATAGGACCACTTTTATTTTAGAGTATATACATGCTGATCTGTTGGGGCCTTCATCCACTATCACTCAAGGAGGAAATAAATATTTTCTATCCTTGATTGATGACTATTCTAGGAAGGTTTGGGTCTACCTAATGAAACATAAATCTGAAATCGTAGAAAAGTTTAAAATTTGGAAGAACTTGATAGAAAATCAAATTGGGAAGAGAGTTAAAGTGTTTAGAACTGATAATGGCCTGTAATTCTGCAATAAGGAGTTTGATTAGCTTTGTAGTAATGCTGGAATTAATAGACATAGGATTGCACCTTATACCTCTAAGCAAAATGGAGTTGCTGAGATGATGAATAGGACTTTTTTGGATAAAGTGAGGTATATGCTTATAAGTTCTGGTATTCTCAAAGTTCTATGGGGTGAAGCTTTGATGACAGCTTCATACATTGTAAATAGAACACCTTTAAGTGCTCTAGGTGATAAAACACCAAAAGAGCAATGGACTAGCCATGTCCTTGATTACTCACATTTAAGAATTTTTGGGTGTATTGCCTATTCTCATCAGAGTATTGGTAAGTTAGAACCCAGGGCTATTAAATGTGTTTTCTTAAGCTCTCCTGATGGGGTAAAAGGCTATAGATTGTGGAATAAGGAAACAAAGGGTTTTAAAATCATCACAAGTTGAGATGTTATTTTTGACGAATCAAAAATACCTTGTTTGAATAATATTGAGTCAAATGGCCAATCTAAAAGAGAGGAGAATAATAAAACCAGATTGCAAGTGGAGGTTGATACTCCATCTGAACCTGTTCTAAGTGAACAGGTGGAGGAAGAGGCATAAAATGCTTCATATCCTCATGAAAATGAAGAAGAAGTTGTGCAAGAAAGCATAGAAAATCAGCCTAAAGAATTAGGTGATTATCAATTGTCTAGAGATACGATAAGAAGGGAGATAAAAGAACATGTTAGCTATAGGGATTACCTTTCACTTACCGTTCTTTTGTATCAAGATCTTGTTTTTAAAGAACCTAAATCTTATGAAGAGGCTATTAACAGCCAGCAATATGTAAACTGGCAGGCTGCTATAAAAGATGAAATGGACTCCTTAATGAAAAATAAGACTTGGAATTTAGTTCCTAAACCTGCTGGTAAGTCTATTGTTGACTGTAAATGGATATTTACTGTTAAGGAGGGAAATGATGAGAAAATGCCTATAAGATTTAAGGCTAGATTAGTAGCTAAGGAATTTACGCAAAAAGAAGGCATAGATTATAATGAAATTTTTTTCCCCGATAGTTAAATACACTACTATTAGAGTTATACTTTCTCTTGTGATACATTATAATCTTGAACTCGAACAAATGGATGTAAATACTTCCTTCTTGCATGATGATCTTGATGAAGTGATATATATGAAACAACCACATGGTTTTGTTGATGAATCTAAGCCTGAACATATTTGCTTGTTAAAAAGATCCTTATATGGTTTAAAGCAATCTCCAAGACAATGGTATTTACGATTTGATAACTTTGTATCTACTGTTGGTTTTACAAGAAGTAAATTTGATCATTGTCTTTACTTTAAGTATGGTGAAGAAAATGAAATTATTGCTTTTATACTCTTGTATGTTGATAATATGCTATTAATAGGGCAAAACATGCATGTAGTCAATAATATTAAAGGATCCTTAAGTAAAGAATTTGAAATGAAAGACCTTGGTCATGCTAAAAGAATTTTGCGGATGGAAATAATCAGAAATAGGAGTAATAGAACGTTGAGCCTAAAACAAACAGGTTATATTGAGAAAATGTTAGTTAGATTTGCTATGAATAATGCAAAATCTGTTATACTCTCTTTAGCCAGCTATTTTAAACTAAGTAAGAACCAATGCCCAGTGAGTGAATTTGAGATTAAACAAATGGAAAAGGTACCCCATGCAAAAGCAGTAGGATCAGTCATGCACACTATGATTTGCACTAGGCCTGATGTGGTTCATTCCATTAGCACACTTAGCAAATTCAAGGCTAACCCTGGACCTAAACATTAGGTTGCTTTAAAATGGTTGTTGAAAGGTTCATCACACTTAGGCTTAGCTTTTAGTGCCTGCAAAGAAGGTGTGGTACTTAAGGGCTTTGTTGATTCTGATTTTGTTGGAAATAGGGACAACAGGAAATTTACTACTGCCTATGTGTTTACTTTGTGTGGAAATTGTATATATTGGAAATCACAACTCTAACCAGTTGTAGCTTTTCTACCACTAAGGTAGAATATGTGGCTGCAATTGAGGCAATCAAAGAAGCTTTATGGCAATCAAAGAAGCTTTATGGCTTAAAGGTTTACTTTCTGAATTAAATGAACTGAGCAGTCCTATTGTACTATATTTAGACATTCAGAGTGCCATACACCTGTGTAAAAACCCAGTATATCATGAAAGAACAAAACACATTGATGTAAAATTGCATTTTATAAGAGATATTACCTCTAAAGAAATTTTGTTCCTTAAAAAAATTGCTACTGAATTTAACCTAACAGACATGGGGACAAATGTATTGCCTTTAAACAAGTTTAGAACTTGTTTGCAAATGTTGAATGTTGATACTGGGTAATTTCTATTGTGTTTGCAGGTTGTATACTTGGTGCTTGCTGGAAATACTGGGAAGATTTTGTGTTTTCTTAAAAAAAGTTTTGTAGAATGTATTAACTAGATTCTTGTATTACCATTGGCATCAAGATGGAGAATTGTTGGGTTGTGATGCTAGTCTTGGTCCAATAATCTTATGCAATGATGATATTGGCCTTCGGCCCAGATACTACACAAATAACCTTGCCCAATAACATTACCAGAGATGGCTCACTTACCACGACTCGATATTCAGCCTAATTGTGTGAGAGTTGCTCTGGACCGTTGAATTAAGATACAAATCTACGGTTGATTGGTTTTACTATAAATACAAGTCTCTACCCTTGTTTGCAAGATTTTTTCCGTTCTCTTTTTCCTTCAGCTGTTTGGAACCTTCTGGGTTCCTGCTCTTCGTCTGTTCATCTCCTCTTGGTGAGTTGATCTTATTCTCTTTGTGAGATCAAAATCTGTGTGTTTTCTCTGTGTGAATAAATTGAATTCTGTGTTGAGAGTCCAAAAAACCTGTCCATTGAAGCAACCCCATGTTGGGTACTTGTGAGGGTTATGGTTTGAGTTAGGGCCTCTTTTGATGATAGAGAAGGGTACAAGGATCTAAGCCTAAATCAGTAACTATTCTTGGTGTCCAATGGTAGTTTTGTATAGTTTCAGAAAGTGTAATATCAGATCTGTAATTTTCTTGAAAAGAGTTGTGTATAACACATTTGTTAAAAAGATGGAAATTATTCAATAAATATAGAACCTCTATGATTGTACGGGTCATAATCTTAACTCGCATAAGTACATAACAATGTCCCTTTTTTTATTTATTATGAGCCAAGCCAAACAATTTTGTGAAGAAGTTTTTATTCTTTCCACGAGAGGCATCGGTTTCTTTTGCAGGTGCCTTCATCTGAGGATGCACATGAGGTTGTAAACGCTTACCTATAGAAAAGTGATGGCAGTGTAGACTTATTCTTCGTTGGAGAGAGACACGCCATTACAAAATTATTGGTTGCTAAATGTTTCAAGTGAAATTACTTGGCAAAATAGTTTCAATATAAAATATTGTTTCAAAACTTCTGTTTAAAAATCATTTGCTTAGTTAAGAAACGTCTTGTTTCCTTTCGGAGGCAAACGCTAGAATTTTCGTGTTACTTTGGAGTTGAATCGAAGAAAATATATAAAAACGAGATTGTATTATAGCTTACCTGAAATTGGTGAAACTTTCTTTACTGGTGCATCTTTTGCATCATTCTAATATTTGTCTCCAACTGATGCATTTACTTCATTGGAAGTTTTTTTCTCCCAAATCCTATGCTCAATTTGTGCTTGACCGTCCCAAGAACCTATACTCATCAACGGAAATGAAGTGTTTAAGATGTAAATGCGATGTGTAAAAAGACTAAATATTTCAAATGAACCTTAATAGAGGACAATAGCTAGTCTCCCTTTCGAAGAGAGAATCAACTTACTTTTGTTGAGGGGCTTCCCGTAGTTGTGATGCAAAACTTCAAGGAATCTATCATCTCTATTGTCTTGCATCACTGCAATGAAAATTGTGAAAATTGAGACATTCAAGTTTGCACTTCCTATAAATCTTGATGTTCTTATCGTTGTCAACAGTTGATAAAAACATACATTTATCGAAAAGAAAATTCCTATAATTGGGGGCTGATCCGCCTAACAGAAGCTGAACTGCCTCTGCATCTCTAGTCACGGACAACTTGGGAAACAAATTCAAATTTTGTGTGTCCAATAGAATACCTGAAAGCTGATTATAAGCAGATACTAGATGATGTTCCTGGCTGTGAGATGCCTTTTCAATCTTCTCTCTTCGAAATTTCCTTGTTCATCCATTTTGTCTTTCGTGCTGAAAACTAGTGAATTCTGGAAATCCGGGATGGAAATTTCATCTAAAGAATCTTAAGCTCATAACAAACCGTAAATCTTAACAATATTAATGTACCACACACACATTGTAGTTGAAGGTAAGCAGGCAATAATCCTCATATTTTATTTTAAACGTCCAATCCGAATTACCATCCATTCTTTATCCGTCTGAGATACATGAAAATACCTCATTAGAAAAGAACAAAGCAGTGGCATCAAGGCGAACACGGTCGAAAAGCCAAGCCGCTTGATGCTTCTTCCACATTTTGTCTCCAAATATTCATCACAGGTACGATCAACTCGAAATTGCTCCTGTCTCCCTCTCCTCTTATCTTATCAGCCTTCATTCTATTTTCCAACAACCAAGCATAACATATTGCTGCTACCATCAAGCTCGTACCTAAACCACACAAAAATGTAAGACCAGGCTAAGTTAAAATTGTCCCCTTATAATCATATAATTATTCCGTCAGTATCCCTTGACCGCCAATTTTTTAATGATCTATTGGGTATTCCTTACTTGTACTCGGTTGCCCTATATCCATGTGAAGTGGATGTAGCTCTCACTTATAAAGTGAGCCACAATGAATTCACGTGTTTGCTCTGCCTATTTCTGATTTTCGTTTTGCCATTCAGTGCTCTCATAATTTGGTTTAAGGCTTAATTGCTAAAAGAGGTTAGTTGATCAATCTCTAGTCAAGAGGGATAAACAAAAAGAAAAAGAAAAGAAATATGCAATACTACAACAAAACTTAGCTGTTTGAAGGTCCAGAGAGCACAATCTTGGCCTTTCTTCTGATTTCCCCGCTCAAGATTTTCTCAATTTTGATCCTCTGCTCTTTTAAGAACAAGTTCAAGTCCTGAGCCATCAAATCTATATCCATCAACTGCCCGTCATCCAAATTATTCTTCTGCATATTCCTATCAATTCTGCATGTGGAAGAGGACAAAGACCTCCGCCGAGCCCACTAGTTAATTTTTCCAATCTTTAGTTTTATTTACTTAAAGAGGGGTTTATATTTGTCATTTTACAGTTTTTAATTGAGAAAATAGATGAAAATAACGATTTTCACAATAAAAATATGAATTAAGGGTGAAAATGTCAAAAAATAAAAGGTATGAACGTTTTGCACAATATTATTAAAAGGTAAGGACATTTTGTGCTAATTACTCATTTAATAATTTTATTTGGACTCATTTGCACTGTTTTAAAATGTTTGAAAGTATGATTGCAATTTTTTTTTTAACTTTTCTTTTCTGTTTTTATTGTTTTATTTAAATAGGAGATATATTTGTCATTTTACATGAGAAATTTGATGAAAAAGATAATTTCCGCAATAAAAGATGAATGTAAGGGTGAAAATGTCAAAAAATGAAAGGTTGGGATATTTTGCACAATAGATGTTTTGTGCTAATTACCCTTTTGTATTTTTGTCATAGGAGCGAATTATAAAGCTTTCAAGGTAAACGACTTATGTTGCAAATAAGGAAAAATGTGGGCTGAACAAGAGAAAAATTCTAGATCTAATTTAATAATAAACAAAATCTAGGGACTTCAACTACAAATATATCGTTCTCCTATTTTGAATAGGATTCTAGTTGGAATGCAATTTGACGATGATGTTTACCTCCATTCTTGGGTACATACATACTTTTATCTTACAATTGGGAGAGACTGATGGAGATTCACTATACACATTATACAAGTCAAATGAGCATATAAAATTCACATAAATCACAAGATAATAGACCTTCGAAGGAGAGAAAATAAGAAGCTAGGTTGTCAAGGTTAAAATAAGAAAAAATGAAGATTATTGCTGCAAAATCTTCATCTTTTCCCCATTTTTCCTTAAAATCAAGTGACGTAATTTAATTCTTTCTTCTTTTTTTCTTCTTCCGTGATGTGTAATTAATTAGTTTAGGCAAAAAATTGTAAGTTTTAAAACTTTATTTCAATTATTAAGTTTTAATCTTCAAGGAATTGTTTTCACTTCCATTCTTAGTGCTTTGTATATTTTTTAATTTAATTTAGTTGGGACCTATTTGTACAATTTTGAAAAAATTGGGGGTATGATTGCAATTTATTCTTTATTTTTCTTTTCTTTTCGTTTTATTTAAATAGGAGAGTATATTTTTCATTTTGCAATTTTTAATCGAGAAATTGAATAAAAATTGATTAAACATGGAAATAAAGGTATATTTTCTCTTTGAACGTTTTCTACAATAAGACATGAAAATAAGAGTGAAAATGCAAGAATTTGAAACATAAGGTCTTTTTATACACTAAAGACCAAACGTAGAGATTTTTTTTTGCCAATAAGCATTTTATTTAGAACAAGGCTGCCCCTTAATCATTGTCTTTTTTGTGTGTCTAATTTTCTGCAGTAGGCCCTGCAGGGATATCAAGTCAAATGAGAAATTCTTAATGATCTGGTTTTTGTTGATAGTAACTTTTTCCCCTCATTTTTTTTAATAAATTCATACTACAAATTCTATATCTGAAACAAGATATGATTTTAATACCAGCCCTCGTCGATTTGCTCAATAGGATTTTTATTTTGTGGAAGAAAGGAAGCTAAAAGTTTAACACAAAAATCAGAATAAAAGGCATCCAATATGCACAAGACAAGAAGGAGAGAAATACGGAATAAAAATATAAAAGATAGTGTAAATGAAGGCAGTATTATTTCATTATCTTTCATCAGAGAGTCGAAATGAGTGGCGAAATAGCATTATGCATTTTGTTTCTCTTTACATACCGGAAGTTCGGTCTCAATAAATACAACTTTTCAAACACAATAAATAGAATCAAACAGGCTGTGTTTATTTTTAACACTGCCAAATCCCCAACAGAAAAACTTTAGAAATTTATATTTATTATAATGCTTGTTTACATACAATATAGACGAAGAAATGAAACATGTGCTTATGCCTAGATATGGAGAAAAGCATGAAAGTTATACACAATCAATTTCTTTAAGTGCATTCATGCACTTACTAGACTTCTATTCTTATTCGATTATATACAAATTAAGCGTTACCTACTTAATTTGTGTAAATTATATTAACTATAAAAAATTCTTTACTTGGATATAATTGGTGTTAAAAAGACTATTTGAAGTTTATTGGAGTTGATTCGGAGCAATTGAAAGTTAACCGGATAGCAATAGAATTAGAAGTATTAATGAAGTATCCGGTAAAAATTCAGAAGTTTCTGGAGTTAAGTTTCGACATTTGAAAAGTATCAAGACGAAATTACAAAATTCGACTACTTGCATTAGGTCAATTATTAATGAATTTGCTAGCTTGACACTTAACCTCACGAGCTCGGCTCGTTGATTTTGGGCGAGCTCGTGGGCCCAGTCGAGTTTTGGCTCGTGAGCTTGTCTTTTATTTATTTTTTAAAAATAGAGAAAAACACAAATAATGTAATGAAGACACTTAAGAAAATAAAAAAGTGTCAAAAAAATACAAATAATTTAATGAAGACACTTTTTTTTTAATTTCTATCATATTATAATATTTTTTATAAAGTATAAAATTTTCTGTAATGAAGACGAATTGTTTTTAGAAATACATTTACAAAAAATACATTTTTTCAATTTCTTTTTAAAGTAAATAAAATATAAACCCTCATCCTTTATCCGGGTTTAGGACTGGCTACATCAAATTTAAGTAGGCAGAATTAAAAATTGTACACGAACAACTTGTTGTAACGTATACAATTTTTTAAAGAAAATTAAATTTAACGATTAAAAAATAAAAAATTTTGATTAATATAATGAAATCAAATATCACTTACCTCACGACATGCAATTTCAGTGTATTTATCTTGTAGTCGAAAATGAGCGCCCTGTCAATCCTTCACGCACATTAACGCTTCCAAAACATCTTCTTTCAGTCGGTTTCTGACATCGGTCAAAACCCTTTTACTTGCACTAAAAATAGACTCCAAAATAACAGTGCTAACCAAAGGTGTCAGCAGATCTTTCACAGTTGCAGAAACAATTGGCCAACGTCTTTCATACTTTCGCCAGAATTTAATTACTTCTTCTGATTTTTTAATTGTTCTGTTTGTTTGCATATTATGATTGAGGTAATCAATTAATTTGGTAGGCATCGCATTTTGAGTCGCGGTCGATGTTTGATGAGATGCAAATGTAGACGACATGACACTAGATGAACACATTGTAGTTGTATTATATCTAAATGTTTTAATGCCTTGAAATAAATTCATTATTTCGACATCATCTTCTTCAATTTCAGCTAAAGAAGTAGGTGCAGAGGGTACTCAACTAATATTCGCACCCATTCTTTCCGCATATAAATCATACATTCCACATAATGTTTACTTTAAATTCTTATAGGTGATAGGTGTATCAAGTATAAGACTTTATTGATTTGATCAATTACGTATTTAGCTCCCGAAATATAATATTGGGGATCCATTGGGCATGTTAAAGGAAATAACAAAGGCAGTTCTTCCCAATATTTTCTAAACTTTAATTCCATAACAATTATAATTTCATTAAAATCAGGATCATTTTTATATTTATGGAATGTTGTTGCAATTATATAAAGGTTTTTAAGCACCATACAGTTTGTGGAATAATAAACACCCGATGAAATCTTTGTGGTCTCATAAAAAGATGTCAAAAATCGTTTAACTTTCAAAGCAAAAACCCAATCATATTCATTCAACATACCATCGTCATCGCTTCTAACGTATCTATTGTTATAAAAGTCAGTTATTAAATGTTCGAAATCTTCACATGACTTTAATAGCAAGTAAGTAGAGTTCCATCTATGGCCTACGTCGCTAACAAATATTTTAGCAGTTGTCACCCTTAGTTCGGCACAAAAATCTTAGAATATTTGTTTTCTATTAGGAGAGATCGTAATATATACTAATGCGTTCCTAATTCTTTGAAATTCATCATTTATATGTTCTAAGCCATCTTGCACAATTAAATTTAAGATATGACACACACAACGAATATGAAACAAGTACCCACCAAAATCAGGTTGAAGTACTCTACACAATTTATCGACGACTACCTTATTAACACTAGCATTATAAAGAGTAAAAGATCGAATTTTAGTTTCGCAATTATATTCTTTAACAATACTGATAATAATATTATATATGTTATTAGCATTGTGAGGAAATTCAATAATTCTAAAAGCAATAATTTTTTTATGCATGCACCAAAGTAGGTCTATATAGTGTGCGGTTGCAGCTATATATGCTCTTTTATTAACCACTTCCCATGTATCAAAAGTTAAATATATAACACACACATATTGTTGCAAATTCATAATTAATTGTTGTTTTGAATTATTAAAATATTGTATTGTATTGGCACGAAGAGTATTTGGACTTACCCCAATGTACGTTGGTTGCAGATATTCTTTCATGAACGAGACAAAATGTTGGTTGTCAGCAATAGCCAGAGGCAACTCAGTGGCGGTAACAAATTTCATCATTCCGGTTCGAGTATTGTCCTCCGAATACACCCACGTGGATAGGGATGAAGTCGTAAAATCGATGCCTGAACTGTCAAATTGCAATTATGTTTGACCAGCTGAAAGAAGTCCATATCTGACCGCACATGCTTTGTAGTGGCAGTTGAGATGGGTAGTACCAATTTTTTGCCATGCCAATCTGTGTTGACAGTATGAGATTCTGCAAGGCAATCGACGACTTTTCCCGTTAAAATCAACTTAAAGTGATCCCAACATTTTACTTATTTTTTGCCCTTTCGCTTTCTTCTCGCATCTGGGATGTTTAATTCGACATCTTCGTCTTCATGTTCCACTTTGAGAACGTTAATATCATCCAAATCTATTAGATTGTGGCTTCCATGACCGTGAATGTGAACACCTTCAGGTATGAGTACGTCATTTAGACCGATAAATTCATT